TATGACCTTTTGGAAGGTAAATGCAGCATGTTTACAGCGTCGTATTCGGGGATATATCATATGCGCAAGCTTTGGCTGTGCGGGAGGAGACTGCATATGCTGCCTTTTTCTCAGATTTTTTCACATTCACTGACCTGCAAAGAATTTGCTTCTTCCATCAATGACAAGTATTTTTTAAACAGTGTCAGTCAGGGGAAGATTTACTAAAGAGAAGGGAAAGAAAACCACCCTGCTACAGCATCTCTTCCCAGGTGGCCACTGATTGAAATCCTCAACAAACCATTCACAGCATGAGAAGTCAAATACAGACGTAGTTCTAAGGGATTGAGTAATAATAGCTCCTGGCATAAGCACAGCATCAAAATTAAGTTTTATTGGTTTGCTTCAAACCGTTGGGCATCATCTCCCGAATCCAGAATGCTGTAACGCAGCTCTGCAGTTGCCGTAGGTGGTCTTCACCAGACCTTGCAGTGAAGCAGTTTCCTCCAGCTGAGGGTCAGCCCCTCGAGGCTCAGTAGCGCCGTGAGGCATCGCTTGCTGTGGTCCTCCGGAAGAATCTGTTTTTTCCTCGGCAATGTCTCAGCTTAAGATAAACTGACCTTACAGCTTGCCACAACTAAGCGATTCAAAGTTGAGCAGATCTCTATGGATCGTAGGAATCTCTCCTTATATGGATAGATTAAACTCCTCAAAGTTTGTTTTAATCTGGTACCACTGCTTTTTCTATTGACACCGAGTAGGACGTGCTCTGTGCCGTACATCCACACGGAGAACTAGTAAGGCTGGTTAACGTGCCGCGGTCTTGGACTTGGTTATTCTGCTGCCAGGTTCCCCATGTAGACAAGCCTTCAGATGTAGTGGTACAGTAAAGATAAATTGCAGTTCCCAAATTTAACGGTATATTTTTTGTCTTCATGTTGTTTCCTTAACAGCACTTCAGTTACCCATCCTTTATTTTGTTTCACATATTTAAACCGAGAGTTTGACTGTGTGATTCTTGTCTTATTCAGGTGGGTTATTCCTGTGGAATTTTGATTATGATGGTATAGATCTGATGTAATATTTAGGCTAGATGATATGACTTAAATCTTTAGAACTCCACTGTTACGCTGGGACTCACCCAATAACACACAAAATTGTAATCTTCTGCAATTCTGCCTTTGTAAAAACATGCATAATTTTCACAAAAATAGTCATGGTTGCAATTAAGGACGCTGATAGTTGTTTTTGTTTTTAATTTCCTCTCCTTCAGAATCCTTAATAAACTTTCACGGTCAAAATCCAGATGGTACTGCAGAGCTCAGTGTAGTTTTTGAGAATTTTTTTCTGTCTGTGCTGATTATAACTCTCCCCAGATAAAAGTGTAAAATTGTTTGAAATTTTGGCCTTTGGCTGTTTGGAAAGCTGCTGTCAGCTTCCAGCATAAGGCAATTCATATTCAGTGCACGTCCACTGCTTGATGGTAGGGGGAAGCGTAACAGTGAGCAGACCAGTTTGCCATTGCCCAAAAATTTAAAAACCAATGGACCCTGCTCTATCTAGTGAGATTGTTTCCTTTTTTTAATATGCACTTCACCTTCTGGTTTTGGTTTTTGGTTTGTTTTTTTTTTAAATTTTGTGTTGTGCTCCTATTCCAAAGAGTCATTGATTTATGAACTCTGAGGAACACTGTCCTGTGGAGATGGGGAATACAGAGGGAAGATTTTTAATCCCTTAGATAATTAAGCACTAAAATAAATGATTAAAAAATTATGAGGCAAAACACTCTGTTAGTTTTAATATAAAAATAATGTACTTCTCCCTGTGGAATGCGAGGGAGGGAGCTGCAATCAAAATAAGGGAAATAAAAAATTGAATACCCTGAGCTTTTTTCCCTCTCTCTGAGTTGCCTCCTTGATGCTTCACTGTGTTTAATGGTGCTTTGCCAAGCTGTTGGGAGGAGTACAAAATGAGCGTGGAATTTATAAATGGGACATTAGATGGAGGAACGATGTTATGGGCTGGGTGATCTGAGGAGTACAGCAGCAGAACAGATTTCGCCTTAGGGCTGGGTAGGAGAGATGCATCCCTGCAACTCTAAGTACTAGCAAAACCATTTAGAGTTGTTAGAAATCTTTGTTGGGGGCTTTATCTAGAAAAAGGTCTTTGAAAACTTCATCTGCTCTCCATGAATATCTGGAGAGAGGGCAGGAGCTGAATGCTGAAAAGACCAGGGCTGAAGTAAAGGGTGTTTTGCATGCAAAGAATCTCTGCAGTTTACTCTTGATTAAAAACAAGCAGAAAGGCCCTGGGTGTGACTTCCTCTAAATTCAAACAAGATCTACGCTGAATTTTCCACCTCTAGGGATCAGGGGACTTCAGCCTTTCATCGCTGTTGCAATTTACAGTCTCATGACGATATGTGCTGAGGCCGTTTTCCCGATTCTTCAGATGGAATTTATTTCTAATTCCAAGTGGGGTTTAAGACTTGACATTAATTAAACTTTTAAAAGTAAGGTTTTATTTTAATTGTTTATTGGGAGAGGAATTTCAGTTTTTTTCAAGATGGAGAGAAAGATTTCCAAAACTGTGAAACCCTTCTCTGCAATCCTTTCTTCCTGGCCTCTTTCATTCTGAGATTTTTTTTTTTTCCTTCTGTCTTTTAGCTGAATGATGCCCACCCTTATCTAGGGGTTGTTTGTGTTTTGGTTTGTTGGGTTGGGGTTTTTTTTTTGTTTGATTGTTTGGTGTTTGTTTTTTGGGGTTTGTTGGGGTTTTTTTTGATAGACAGCTGGTTTCGCTTTTGCATCTCGAAAGTTCTTTGCTCCAGTTTTCCAGTTTATTGTTTTGCATTATGTTAGTGCCTGGAGACCTTAACTGAGATCACAACCTTGTTAGTGTAGGTGATGCTCTTGTAGAAATAGTAAGATAAGTCTGTTGCATTTGCGGTTTACACAGACAAAGGGTGAAGGGAAATAAATAGTAATACCCTTATTTGTTGGATGTAGAACAGGCACAGGAAAAGTGCCTTGTCTGAGATGGGGCAAAGTCTATGGCGCAGTGAGATCTCCTGCATGAACTGCTCTGTTGTGGAGGTGCCCTGATGGACGTTCTAGTGATGGGTAGCATCGGTGTGGCTTCCTCTCCTGCACAGGTGACCTCCCCTTTCATGTTACACAGCCCGTAGGTAGATAAGATGATTGTGTCTGAGAGGCATTTTCCAGATTGTTTTTGGTGAACACTTGCGGTCTGAAATCAGGGGGTTTTAGGAACTAACAGTACCTTCCCATAGGATTTGAAGATAACAAGCCTCTTCTACCCTCTTCTAGGATTTGCAATGAATTGCAGTTCATAAATGGTAGATTGGTGGTTGGGAGTAACTGATAGATTGGTGATTAGGATTAACTGACATCAGTTTAGGCCACCACAATACTTGATGAGCAAATAAATATTTAGGTCAGATGCCAAACAAAAAAATTAGGAGTAATAAAGCATTTGTGGACTAGAGCTTGGGAAACTGGTTTGCTTCTGAATGCCATCTGTGGTAACCCTTTGACGCTTTTCTGAATAAGGGTAAGGATTTGAATTTGCTGTGGGGAAAAAATGCAATTTATTTCATAATTAGGGTGTGAAGACATAAGCATGAAGGTCAGATGTTCAAACAGGAAAGGTCATATTGTATTTGCATCTGTGTTTTTCAACAGTGTATGTCTTTGCTTTTTGGGACTGACAGTTCTTGGAAAGGATGGAGAGCTTATTCTTTAATATGATAGCCTGCCTCAGGTAATTGCTCAATGGCACAGTTAAAATAGATATCTTGCAGTAAGAGAGGCTCAGTGTCATTGAAAATGTTCTTTCAGTGTGCAGTGATGTACAGCCTACGGATAATGCAGTTGTATTAAGGAACAATGTAGGGTTAGACAACAACAGTGGTGTGAACCCTGATAGCTATTTACAGAAAAAACCCTCTTTTTGTAGATGAAGTGCAATAGAAGGGACTATAAATTGGATGCAAATAAAGCTCCTTTTGAAATCCTCTAGCACCAATGTGTTGTAAAGGAGCTTTTGTGTAAATGGTTATTGTGCTAACTATTCTTAAAGCGAAATTCGGGCTTCTGCAGGAAACCAATTAAAGTCCATGCATTTCTTGAGAGTGTTGAAAAGAGGGTTGAAGTGAACTCTAAGTGGTCCATGTGCAGCATTTGATGTAAAACCATTTTATCGGTTTCCTGTACAGGTGCTGCTTGCTTTAGTGATCAAATTTGTTTTTAAATGTGCCTGTGCAGTGATCTTATGTTGCAGATGCTGACTGGGTAATTTTGCTCTCCAATAATAAATGTATATTGCAAGTGACAACGTGACCTTTGGCATGGGTAAACCTACACAGGCTACTTCTTTTAATCTAGCTGCCACATAGAAAGTAACCTATTGTTTGAAAATAACCCATTGTTTTCCAAGCTAACTAGATAAATCATCATCTACCTAGGCTACTTCTGCATGGATTGATGGTGCTTGCTATTGCCACTAATACCAGCTTACAGCACTGTCAACCCCCTCAGTAAAATCAGTGAGGTTGTATCATGGTATGACTTGAAGATCTGATCTTTTAAACTCTCCTTTCCTTTCAACAGTGACTGAGAGTCGAGGGATCCTGGAGAGTATACAGAGATTTTCTTTACTGCCAACTTACTTGCCTGTGACCTATCGTATCCACAATGCGGATGTTTCCTTCTTTCTTAAGGAAGCCAACCAGGATATTATGAGGAATTCTAGCTTGCAGTCCCGAGTGGAATCCTTTCTGATCTACAAATCCAAGAGGCCACCTGTGTTAAACGCCAGCTATGGACCTTTTTCCATCGAACAAGTAGTGCCCCAGGACTTAATGTTGTCTTCAAATCCATTTGGATCTACTAACAAGTTCTCCTTTAATTGGAAACTTAAGGCCTTCATAATGAGTGACAAAATTTACCCAAGCAAGCCCAAAGTCCAGGTCCTGTTCTACATCGTGGGCAGGGACTGGGATGACTACAGCACCCCTGCGGGTGTTTGCCTTCCGAGAGACGCGGGAAGTCAGAGGCAGCTGCCGGCTGAAAGGGGACCTGGGGTTGTGTGTGGCAGAGCTGGAGCTCCTGCCAAGCTGGTTTAACCCCCCCACTGTTGTCGCTGGCCGTAAGAAACCCATGGATCAGTCTGAAGGGAGCCCTGTGGAGCTTTACTATGCCATACAACCAGGAGATGAGAAAGGGGAATGCACCAAGGAGGATGTAAGGAAAAGTAATGGGATCCGACCAGGGCGCAATGACATTGATGAGTCGGGACCTCCCTTGCAGAGGATTGGAAGTGTTTTCCTTTACCAGACACATGCTGGCCCTTCTTTAAGTGAAATGAGATTGGATAATAATATTGCCATCCAGTACACACCAAAGACTGTCAAGCAAGGTGACATTTTGACTTTCCTTGTATCTGTTGCTAAAAATTCAACAGAAGATCAGTTCACGCTGAGGTAAGGCTGTTTTTTTTTCCTTTGGTACCTTATTTTTTGTTTCTCTGCTCTTGGTATGGGAAGTCACTTTCTCGTGTATAAATTGCCTAACAAGTCTTCAGTTGCTGCTCTGCAGAAGTTGTATTGCACTTGGTTGACTCAGCGTTTCTCCTATTATTCAGTCTAATATTGTATCAATTGCTTGAGATGTGATCTGTTTGAATGAGAAAGGCCTTTTCTTAAAGTTGTCCTTTGACTACTACTTTTAAAAATTGAAATAGTAGAGCTGGGACCTCTCTATGTGCTAATAGGAGATAACATTTAAAGTCTCCTGAGCTGGAGTTTGCAGTGCTCCTAATCTCTCATTGAACTCCTGTTAAGATTAGTAAAGCTCAAATCCACAAATGTATTTATAGGAAGTGGCAAGAATTAGGCATCTAAGTAGGATTTATATGCTTAAATATCTCTCCCCAACTTGTTGTAAGCCTGGTTCTGTTTTATAGGATGTTTGAGGCTCCTAAGTATTATTGATATACCAAAAACCATTTCTGAAAATGAAAAATACCTGAGGGAGGTGGTGGTTGCTTTTTTGAACGTAACATCAAGTGCTGCATTGATTTACTTTGTTGCTTTCCAAGCATTGGCATATTACAGCGGGAAGCTCGCTATAGCCACCAATGTAATACAAGAAAGAACAGCAAAGACTGTCAGGCTGTACTGTGGCAGGCTGAGAGATGTGCATTCCATGCAAGTGAGGCTGTCCGGTTGTCTTGTCTTGTCAAGTTTGCCACTCTGTTCCAGCACTATAAACTAGGGTTGCATGGCTGGCACATGGAAGATTGGTGTGTGTAGAGCGGATTTCATTCTTAGCCCTTACCAACGACTCACGTCAGCTCTTTTAGAACTGGAGATAGATGTTGTACTCTGGCTTCCGAGATTAAGACTGACTCGTCATGGGTGTTTGTCCTAGAAATGACTGTTGGTGCCAAAGCTCACAAAGGCTCACAAAACATACCTCCAAAAGAGGAGGTGCATCGTAAGAGGGAGCAGTGAAGTCCCTGCTCCTACAAATGTCGCAGATGCACCAAAGTCAACAGCTGTGCTGAGCACTAGAGATGCTTGGTGCCTTCACCTAAGAAATCACACCCTACTCTGACTTGCGACAAAATACACTCTCTCTGGTAGTTATACATCTCAAACGCCAAAAATCTCTGGCTAAAGTCACCTAGATATGTTTCAGGGTTCAATTATTAAAATGGCACAAAGCTGTAAATGCAACATTGTTGAACTTGGATGTATACCTCATACTGGAGTAAGGACTGAGTCAGATTTTACTCCACTGACCTAAGTAGTAAGGGCTCAAACTAGTCATTCTCTTTATTATTTTTTTTTTTTTCCTCCCCCTGCTCCCCAGGAGATTTGTGTGGGATTTCCAGGGGAAGTGGTTTGCCATAAAATCAGGTCATTTTTCCTTTGCAAGTGTAGGATATATAGACTGAATAACCACACTTAGTTGCTGACTCAAGGACAGTTATTTCCTCTTCATCTGGTAGAAGACAAACACCAGTCGGATATCTACTCTCCTTACCATATCAGGTTTTCATTTTCTGAGTCAATCTGCCTAAGATTTGTTTCCTCAGTGACTAATTTCAAGACAGGCAATCTGAGTTCCTCGTAGTAAGCATTCAGGGATGCCTTCTCTATACTAATGATCTTCCTCTATACTAATGACTTTGAAGGGATATTACTTCAGACATGCATGGAAACTTCTACTACATATGAAAATTGGTTTAAATATAAACATTAAAAGCCTCTTCTGTCTAAGAGAGAATTAAGGTAAAAACCTTTCGTTATTTTTACGCTGTAAATGCAGGTCCTTAGAAATCTGACTTCAAAGCATCTATATTTCCATGGGCTGTGATCAGTTAAAAGTAGAGCTAGTTATAACCATGATAATTATATTATGTAGGTTTATAAAATTTTCAAAAATCTTTCTTTGTTTAAATTAGGATGAAAACTGAATACCTGAACTTTTAAATGAATGCTTCTAAAATTAATTTTCTGGAACAAAAAGGAAATGATGTGTTTGAATTTAGGTTTTTATTTTGAGATCTAAGGTATCACAAAACAAACCAAAAAAAGCTAAAAATAGGTAGCAAATATGGGTTCGAAATGAAAAATGCAGCATTTTCTTCTTCAAAAGGTAACAGCAAACTGATGTTTTTAAAAACATAAACTTCTGTAACAGCTTGCTGTTACTCATGTCACATTCATGAGTTTTGATTTCTCTTGACCTGCTTTTCTAACAGTAACTGGCTTTCAGACTATAATCTGCTGCAATATCAGAGTAGTTATAATATCTGTTCTAGTGTGCTTCTAAAGCACCATTGCCTGTCTTTGATCTAGCTGCAGCATGTCTAAGCTCTTGTTTGGTTGTTTTCTTGGTCAGAATTGTAGTATCTACGTTCTGCATTCGTCCCTCCATGACATGTACATAGCTAATTCAGTTTTCGGTGGTTGTTAATTTAGATATGTCTTCTGCTGTAAGGAAAAAAGCAACTACCAGGTAAGAGCAAAAATTGAGCTTGATTAAATGCTTTGGCTTAAATTCTTTTTTACATTGGGATCTCCTATAATCCCAATGTCAGCCAAGATGCTAACGCCTCTTTCACGGCCCTCTCTTTAGGAGTAAATGTCACTCTAAGTGATTAGATGTTGAAGGTAGCCTTTGACTGAAATAAGGCTCTATTTCAGGATTGGAAATCTTATGTGTCAGTCTAGTATATCCATTATCTGCAACTAAATGATCTTCAAAGGTCCATTCCAACCCAAACCATTCTGTGATTCTATGATTATACTATATATGTTCTCTTTTGACTCGGTCAACTAAACAAAAGACTGCATTTGTGATATGCTGCCTGTTCTGATTTCAGAACAGACTTTCCAGCTGGCATTGTGTAAAAGCAATCAGAGACCTCTTCTGTGACCTGAGTTTTAAGTCTCTAAAACTTTAAATTCTCTTGGTTTGTAGGGGTACAGATCTTGAGCCAGGGTAGATTGAAAGAAACTTCATCCTGTTGGAACACGTAAATATGAAGGCATGAACAGACATGTAAAAGGTTCTCCATCCTGTCAGTTGAGATGGAGCAAAAAGGAATAGAAATGACCCATTTGTGTAACTAATAAATAAAATGATTGATCATAATACATAGGAAAGGAGAACAGACCCTGTCCACTCAGACAGAAATGGTGAGTCTAAGGAAAAAAACCTGCTGTTTGGGGAGAGGAAGAGCAGTGTCTGGCCTCAGCTGTTACACAGAAGGTCCCTCTGTATTTTCCAAATGATCCCTTTTTCCCATACAGCGTATGGATTTTCACCAACTGGTGGCCAGTTTTTATATTCTAAATGAAAAAAAACAATGCCTGTTATGCAATATAAACTAGATGGGGAAACCGCAGGATTGCACATAAAACCCACTATGTGGTCAGATTGTGTCTAAGGGCTACAGAGAAAGTAATGTGTTTCAAGATACCTTATTTCACCGGACTGATTTTCGACAGGCCGCTTTAGAAGCAGGACTTAGCTCTAACAAACTCCTGGCTGTTTCCAGCTTTGGGGTTCCAAGGTTTGGAAGGGAA